CATATATGGATTTTAGACATAGATCTAGGGAGTTCCAGCCCACAATCCCATGGCCAGAGAGTCTGGGAAACATAGCCTTCATTCAGTGGCTGCTGGAAGCAGAGGCAGACTCCCATGGCTAAGCACTGAGCTGAACTCAAGAAAGCCAGTAACAGAGAGGGACGACTGATGACCAAAGGGGTTAACACTGGGGTGGTTTAAACCCCAGAAACAGCTGACCTGACAAGGGTTAACTCTTGAATCCCAGGCTGATGCATGGGAATCCAGCATGGGGCTGATCAAGACCCCCTGAATGTGGGTGTCAGCGAGGAGGCCTAGGCAATCTATGGGGCCTTTGGTAGTTGACCAGTATTTATTCCTGGCATACCAATGGACTTTGGGTGCCCATCCAACAATGAGAGATGAACTCTCACTCTGGACTCTTGGGGGAGGTTCTAGGCCCTGTCCTGGATAAAATGACAGAGTATGGATACTCCCATGGAAGAACTCACCCTCCCTGGGGAAAAAAGGGGTATCGGGTGGGTGGTGAGAGGGGGTGGGAGGAAGGGAGGGAAAGGAAGAGCGACATGAGATTGACATGTGAAGAAACCTTGTTTCTAATTTGAATTTAAATTTAAAAATAAATTTTTTAATAAAAAAAGAATAAAGGAAAGCAAAAAATATGCTCAGATTAGAATTTAATAGTCTAGATACTGAGTGTAAATTCAGTTTCATAGGAGCACCGCAGTAATAAGAATATTTACATGATTATATTGGACAAAATATACATACCTTAATGTTTTTTTCTACTCAATTGTCAACACCAAAATAACCTATAATATTTTTTGTGTCTTTTAGAGTATATTAAGATGTCTTCCTTCAATAGTTAAGGATGAAGACATGATTTTTAAAGATTATTTTTATTTAAATTAGAAATACGCTTGCTTCAACTGTCAGTCCCATTTTCCTCTCCCTCCCATCCTCCCTTGCTCCCCTCTAAGCCCCCCCAGCACCCCACCTAATCCCCACACCGATACCCAGGGAGGGTAAGGCCCTCCATGGAAGATCTCCAGAGTCTGTCATTTCATTCAGGGCAGGGCCTGGACCCTCCCCTAAGAGTTCATACTTAGAGACCATCCCTCATTGTGGGATGGGCACACAAAGTCCATTTGTATGCCAGGGATAACTACTGATCTACTACCCAAGGCCCATAGATTACCTAGGCCTCCTCACTGTAACCCACATTCAGGGGGTCTGGATCAGTCCCATACTGACCTTGCAGCCATCAGTCTGGGGTCCAAGAGCTTCCCTTGTTCAGGTCAGGTGTTTCTGGGGGTTAAACCAGCCCAGTGTTAACCCCTTTTCTCATCAGTCCTCCATCTCTGTCACTGGTTTCCAGGAGTTCAGTTCAGTATTTAGATGAGGGTGTCTGCCTCTGCTTCCATTAGTCACTGGATGAAGGTTCTAGGATGGCATATAAGGACGTTGTCAAACTCATTATCATTGAGGGGCATTTAAGATAGTCTATCCAACATTGCTTAGTTTACCAGGTAGTGTCATCCCTGTAGATCTCTGGAAATCTCACTAGTGCCAGATATCTCCTCAAACCTATAATAACTCCCTCTATTATGGTATCTCTCAGCCTGCTCTCCTCTGTTCTTCCTCTGACTCAACCTTCCTTCTCTGCCTTGCCCTCTTCTCCCCTACTCTTCTTACCCTCTTTTTTCTGGCTCCCTTTCCCCTCTCCCCATCCTCCTATTCTGCTTAGGAGATCTTTCCTCATTCCCCTTCTCTGGGGTATCATGTATATCTCTCTTAGGGCCCTACCTATTTCCCATAGTCTCTAGGCTGACACTCCCTGATCCATGTCTGAAATCCATATATGAGTGAGTACATACCATGTTTGTCTTTTTTTGACTGGGTTACCTCATTCAGGATGGTTTCTTCTAGTGCCATCCATTTGCCTGCAAATTTCAAGATTCCACTGTGTTTTTCCACTGAGTAATAATCCATTGTGTAAATGTACCACATTTTATCTATCCACTCTTCAGTTGAAGGCCACCTAGGTTACTTCCAGGTCCTGGCTATTACAAATAATACTGCTATGAACATAATGGAACAGATGTCCTTGTATGAATGTGCATCTTTTGGGTAAATGCCTAATGGTGGAATTGCTGGGTCTTGTGGTAGACTGATTCCCATTTTCCTGAGGACTCTCCATACTGATTTCCAAAGTGGCTGTTATATTTAGTTCTGTACCCCACTTCTTAATTGGATTGATTGGTGTTTGGAGAGTTGCTTCCTGAGATCTTTGTGTATTTTTGAAATCAGCCCTCTGTCAAATGTGGGGTTGGTGAATAATTTTTCCTATTCTGTGGGCTGCTGTTTTGTCTTGTTGACTATGTTCTTTGCCTTACAGAATTTTCTCAGTTTCAGGAGGTCACTCACATTTATTAATTGTCAATCTCAATGTCTGTGCAAATGGTGTTATGCTCAGGAAGTGGTCTCCTGTACCAGTTCGTTCAAGGTTACTCCCACTTTATCTTCTAATTGGTTCGGTGTGTCTGGGTTTATGTTGAGGTCTTTGATCCATTTGGACTTAAGTTTTGTGCATGGCAATAGACATGGATCTATCTGCAGTCTTCTTCATGCCAGCATCCAGTTATGCCAGCACCATTTGTTGAAAATGCTTTCTTTTTTCCATTGTACAATTTTATCTTCCTTGTAAAAAATCAGGTATTCGTAGGTGTGTGGGTTAATATCAGGGTTTTCAAATCGATTCCATTCGTCTCCCTGTCTACTTTTGTGCCAATACCAAGCTATTTTCAGGCCTATAGCTCTGTAATAGAGCTTGAAGTCAGGGATGGTGATGCCTCTGGAAGTTCCTTTATTTTACTAGTATGTTTTTGGTATCCTGGTTCTTTTGTTTTTTCATATAAAGTTGATTATTGTTCTTTCAAGGTCTGTGAAGAATTGTTTTGGGATTTCGATGGGAATTGCATTGAATCTGTAGATTGCTTTTGGAAAGATTGCTAGTTTTACTTTGTTTATCCTACCTATCCAAGAGCATGGGAGACCTTTCCATTTTCTGGTATCTATTAATTTCTTTCTTTAAAGTTTCAAATTTCTTACTATACAGGTCTTTCACTATTTTTGGTTAGTGTTACCCAAAGATATTTTATGTTTTTGTATGGATATTGAAAGGTTGATGTTTCTGTAATTTCTTTCTCAGCCTGTTTATTTTCTGTATATAGTGGGGCTACTTGTTTTTTTGAGTTAATCCGGTATCCTGCCACTTTGCTGAAGGTAGTTATCACCTCTAGGAGTTCCCTGGTATAGTTTGTCTGGTCACTTAAGCAAACTATCATATCATCTGCAAATAGTGAATGTTTGACTTATTCTTGTCTAATTCGTATCCCCTTGATCTCCTTTTGTTGTATTATTGCTCTAGCTAGGACCCCAAGTACAATATTGAAGGGGTATGCAGAGAGGGGACAGACTTTTCTTGTTCCTGACTTTAGAGGTATCTCAGTGAGTTTCTCTCCATTTACTTTGATGTTGTTATTATGTTTAGGTATGTTCCTGTTATTCATGATGTCTCCAAGACCTTTGTCATGCGTGGGTGTTGGATTTTGTCAAAATTGTTTTCAGGATCTAGTTAGATGATCATGTGATTTTTCTTTTGCAGTTTGCTTATATGTTGGATTACATTGATGAATTTTCGTATGTTGAACCATCCCTCCATCCCTGGGATGAAGCATACTTGGTCATGTTGGGTGATCTTTCTGATGTGTTTTTAGATTTGATTTGCCAGTATGTTGAGTATTTTTGCATCAATCTTCATGAGGGATATTGGTCTGTAGTTCACTATCTTAGTTTTGTCTTTGTGTTCCTTGGGTACCAAGATAATTGTAGCCTTGTGAGAAGAGTTTGGCAATGTTCCTTCTGCTTCTACTGTGTGGAACAATTTGAGGAGTATTGGAATTAGCTCTTTTTGTTCTAGAGCTTTCAGTTGTGCTGTTAATTCTCTAGTGTGACTATTCTCCAGTTTCTTCATGTGGGCACTTAGTGCTATGAACTTTCCTCTTAACACTGCTTTCAAAGTGTCCCATAAGTATGGGTATGTTGTGTTTTCATTCTCATTGAATACTAGGAAGTCTGTAATTTATTTCTTTATTTCTTCCTTTACTCAGGAGTGATTCAAAAAGACAATATTTAGTTTCCACGAGTTTGTAGGGTTTCTGCAATTTGTGATGTTTTGGATTCTAACTTTAATACATACTGGACTGATAAGACACAGGGGTTATTCCAGTTTTTTGTATCTGTTGAGGTTTGCTATGTTACCAAGTATGTGGTCGATTTTAGAGAATGTTCCACATGGGACTGAGAAGAAGTTATATTCTTTTATGTTTAATGGAATGTTCTATAGATGTTTGTCAAACCCATTTTAGTCATAACTTCTGTTAGTTCTCTTGTTTCTTTGTTAAGTTTCTGTGTGGTGGTCCTGTCTAGTGGTGAGAGTGGGGTGTTGAAGTCTCCCACTATAAGTGTGAGAGATTTTATGGGCGATCCTGATGGATTTTTACTGTGATGAATATGAAATGACTTCCTTCATCTCTTTTGATTGATTTTAGTTTGAATTCTAATTTGTTAGATATTAGGATTTTGTGGTATTTGTGGTATAAACACAGTGTGTAACTAAGGTAAATAATATTAATTGAATATGAAAACTCATAATTTTTAATTCCAAGTATCAATGGTGTCCCAACTAGAAAACACATTTTATCTCAATTCTATTAAGTTTATACAATATCTAACAGATTATAAATCTGACTTCATTTATTATTTGATTTTGTATGCATATTTGTATTTAAGTATTTTTACAAACACCTACAAAAATATTACTCTCCTAATGCTGTCCAACTAACTTTTCAAAGTTAGGTTCTTGGAATGCAAAGTGGCAAATTATTCACTTATAGTTACTTTACAAGGGCAACATCTCTTCCTCTTTTCTTCCACAGAATTGGATTATAGTTTTCTTGCATATGGAGAAATCTTCGAAAGTGCAGAAATCAACGGAGAGAAGTTATTAAACATTACCAGGAAGCAGCTCAACGAGCTTGGAATAGTTCAAGCTGAACACCAGGATATACTACTGAAAGCAGTTTATCGTATTCGTCAAAAGGTGAGTTTAGGAGTTTCTGCCTATACTGCTAGTTTCTACTTTTAAAAAAAGATGAATTAGAAGCAAGAATATACGTTTCTGTCTACTGCATGATCTAAAATAAATTTCTATTTTGCATCTTTATAGTTTAATTTATGGTTCCCATGGACTCTGACTGTTGTATTTAAGTATTCTGGTGGCAGTTTCCTTCCTTTATTTGAATTATGGTTTTGTTTGCAATTGTTGCAGTGCATCTTGAACATATTAATCTCTTGTTCCCTCCCTCTACCTCCTCCCACCCTTCCCCCCAAATCTTTCATCTCCTCCAACTTCGTGCCTTTTTATTTATAACCCATTAATTCCAGTTACTTCTGACCATATGCACATGTGTGTTGTCATGCACTGTAGTATGAACAACAAATCAATGGCCACACTCTGCCAAAGAAAAGTGACTCTCCATCCATCAGCATCCATCGAGTGCCATTAGATCCTTAATTGGGAATGTGACATTAATATTGTGGATGTCTTCTGCAGGTAACCATTGCTGCTGTGAATACATGTATGCATCAGTCGTGCCATGTCCAGAGACCAGTCTTTCACAACATTTCGCTACATCCCCTGGTTCTTGTATTCTTTCCACCCCTCTTTGGTGATATTCCCAAAGCCTTTAGGGCAGATTAATATAGATGTTATATCAACACCTGAGAATTTTACAGTTACTTATTCTCAGTATTTTAAACAGTTATAAATCTGTGTGTTAAGTACTATTCTTTACAATAGAAACTTCCCTGACAAAGGTTGAAGGCAGCATTAATCTATGGATATGAACATAAATATTTAGAATGGTATTTGATGTCATTACTCTTTAGTAAAATGATATTAATAGGTTTTCCCTTGGGAACTGTGATTTATCTAGTCATACCTTTTGATCATTTTTTATAGTACTAGGCATGATTTCATTCCTGCAGTTCAGACATCAAATAAAATCAAAAGAGGAGCTGGTTACCTCTATAAAAATGTTTTCCTATATTGCACAGATGTCTTACTGTATAGGTTGTTGTTGCAGCATAGAGTGTCCAGTGCTGGAGAAGAGCATAGATGTGTTTCTGCCCTAATAGCTCCAAAATACACTTCCCAGTATTATGAAAGCTAGCCATCAAGAAGGTAGATTTCTGTTCAGTTAAACATTGCTATCTCGGTTCTGCAACTAAAGTGTGGTATACCTTCAGTAATAGAGTCTCACCAACTAGTCATGTTGATGACCAAGAGCAATAGTAATAGACCGTCTGATGCTTCAGGGATCAGTAACTCACATGAAGCAAAATTGTACTTAGCCCCGACGTTTTCACTTAATAACCTATATCTTGTAAAAGTATCCTTTTTCACCCATATGGGACACTTCTGTTCAAATTTAAAAGTTTCACATGATGATCTAGACAGCTGTCTCCTCACTTAGAATTAGAATTACCATTTTATAATGACAACAAACCTGAAACTTAAAATAATGTGTAAGGGTACACTTAGTACTGCTTTAAAAGTATGAAAATTGATATTGTCGTAATAGAGAACTTTATTCATGGTAAAATATACTTGTCTGTCAGCAAGTATTTGTTGAAGATCTTTCTTACTATAGTAATTTAAATTATTCCCCAGATTTTCATTGAATAGGTTTAAAAATGATTTGATTCTGATAGATCAAATTCTAAATGGATTCGAAGATGCTTATACTTTTGGATGACTTTTATCCTTCTTAAATATAGATATATTTTTCAATAATTTTCTCCATATTCAAGTTAGAATATATGAATACAATAGTGTGTATAAATTAATTTCATGTTGTATATCATTTAGTTAGATACTCAGAATAAAATCCTATGCATCTTTTTTTTTTTTTGCAATAGGTCCACTTTATTTTTTTATTTATTTTTTTCCTTAAGCCATGCAAACTCTTTTTTTTTTAAATTTTATTTTCCAGTTTAAATTTAGATAAGAATCAAGGTTGCTTCACAAGTCAGTTCCAGGTCCCTCTCCCATTCCCTCCCTTCCTCCCGTGCCCTCCCCTCCCCCCCCCGTTATCCTCTCATTTCTCCAGGGAGGGTGAGGCCCTCCATGGGGGTGTCCATAGTGTGTCATTTCATATAGGGCAGGGCCTAGACCCTTTCCCAAGAGTTCCGGGTGAGAGTGCACCTCACATTGTTCTATTGGAGTCCAAAGTCCGTGTGTATACTTGGGATGGGTACTGATCTGCTGCCCAAGGCTCAATAGATTCCCTAGGCCTCTTCACTGACACCCAGACTCAGGGGGTCTTGATCAGTCCCATGCTGGCTTCCCAGGCTAATGCCTGGGATTCAAGAGTTAACCTTTGTCTGGTCAGCTGTTTCTGGGGGTTAAACCAGCCCAGTCTTAATCCCTTTGATCATCAGTCCTCCCTCTCTGTTACTGGCTTTCTTGAGTTCAGCTCAGTACTTAACCAAGGGAGTCTGCCTCTTCTTCGATCAGCCACTAAATAAAGTTTCTGTTTCCCAGACTCTCTGGCCATAGGATTGTAGGCTGGCACTCCCCAGATCTATGTCTAAAATCCATATATGAGAGAGTACATGCCATGTTTCTCTTTTTGTGACTGGGTTACCTCACTCAGGATGGTTTCTTCTAGCGTCATCCATTTGCCTGCGAATCTCATGATTCCATTATTTTTTTCTGCTGAATAGTACTCCATTGTGTAGATGTACCACATTTTCTCTATCCACTCTTCAGGTGAGGGACATCTAGGTTGCTTCCACGTTCTGGCAATTACAAATAAAGCTGCTATGAACATAGTGGAACAGACCTCTTTGTTGTATGAATGGGCATCTTTTGGATATATGCCTAAGAGTGGAGTTGCTGGGTCTTGTGGTAGGTTTATTCCCATTTTTCTGAGGAATCTCCACACTGATTTCCAAAGTGGCTGAACCAGATGGCACTCTCACCAGCAATGGAGGAGTGTCCCCCTTTCACCACATCCTCTCTATGCATCTTTACACGTTGCCTCAATGAAATGATTTGGTCATTCTTAGAGGTCTTCATTATACATTTGACAAAGTTTCACTAGCACTACTTTCTTTCTTCATGTAAAATTCATTATATTGACAGTGCAGGTTCTTGATTCCTATAAAGTAAAAATAACATTTTAAAATATTTTGTAATGATTACCTAATATATCCTAGTAGTAAAATTCTGTGGTACCTCAGCCTAAACGTAAACTTAATGATTAGCATACTAAATTACTCACTCCTATCATTTTGTTTATGCTTGATGATAGGGCAAAACACATTATTGCAAAGCATAAATTCATTCTTTCTTCAACTTTATTGAACCATTCAGGATCCTAAACATTAATAATTTCATTATTTCTAAATCTTCCATGTCTGTGTTTATCTTGCCAGGGGTCTGTATTAGTAAACTTACTTAATATGGCCCTCCAATAATGTAAAACCTATTTTATTAAACTTAAAAATGCTATCATTGAAATAAAATTTTGCTATTGCTTAATAGTGTTATTAATATACCACCAACAAAGAAAAATGTTGTCATTTACATAATTCTTGTGCTTTATTACTACACAAAGAAGAAATAATACACTGTCTTAAAAGATTTTTAAAACATGTTTAGTATGGTCACACACATCATAATCTCAACAGTTGTCAGACTAGGGTAAGAGGATGGGGCGTTCAAGGCCAGCTACTTCTGCATAACAAGTTTAAGACAAGTCTGGGATTTTTGAGATCTAGTCTCAAAAAAAACCAAGAAAATAAAAAATAATATAAACGAAAGTATAAAACACCCTGCCTCCCTAATCCTTGGATAATGTAATCCTTTAAGTCTATGTTTATACATCCTGAAGGACTTTCTTTAATAATATTTTGGACTACTAGATTATGATGGTACACATGTCCCTAGAGGTCATAGAAAAATTAGTTTTTATATAGCTGATTGAGAATTGACTTTTGGTGAGACTATTTATGACTCAAAATCTGAAAATTAACCAATACCATATCATATTTTAAGTAGATATCTGGGATTCTCAGAATGGAATAGTGGTAACCTATTATAAGACAATGCTCAAGAGGATATGTGCTATAAAAGGAAAAAAAGATAATGGTATAGGTTTTAATAGTGAGTGATTGTTTAGGGATTCAATTTTATATTCTTTTAAATGCGGTGTATGTACATCTATCTGAATGAGTGTATATCACATATATGCAGGAGCCCATGGGGGCCAGAAGAACATGTTGGAACCCTGGGAGTTGGAGGTACAGGAAGTTGTGAGATGCCTGATATTGTTGCTATGAACTGAAGTCATGTCCTCTGAAACAGCAGCAAGCTCTTAATCACTAGGCCACGTGACAGTTACTTTGTTTTTTTGTTTTGTTTTGTTTGTTTTTGTCAACTTTACACTGCTAGTGTTACCCAAGAGGAGGGACCTCAATTGATAAAACATTTCCAACAGATTAGCCTATAAGCAAGTCTGTGAGACATTTTGTTGATTAATGATTGATGTTTGAGGACCCATCCCACTGTGTAGTTCCATCCCTGGGTAGGTGACCCTGAGTTGTATTAAGAAAGCAGGCTGAATATGTCATGGGGAGCAAGCTAGTAAACAGTACCCAACCATGGTCTCTGCTTTAATTTCTTGCTCCTGGTTCCTGACTTGGATTCCCCAGATGGTGAACTGTGAGTTGGAGTCCAAGTAAACCCTTTTCCTCCCCAAGTTGGTTTTGCTCATGGTGTTTTGACATAATAATAGAAAGCAAACTAAATACAATCTCTCCGGACCTTCAAGATTCATTTTTATCAGGAAATTATTTTTGTACTACCAAGGAAGGGTGAAACCTAAAAAATGAGAGAACAATTATGAAATATAACAGCACTGTTGGACATATGTTTAAGAGATAAAAATCCATCAGTTTCTTTAGTATCAAATGGAAAGTAGTAGATGTAATAAATATATACATCTGTTAAATAGCTCACAGAAGACAAAATGAAGAAATAGTACTGATAGGAAAAATGATATAAAATAACCATCCTTACACTTTATAGAACTAAGATATGGTTCTCTGTTTTTTGAAGAGTGGAAAATCAGGTTTGGAGATAAGATTTTGTTGTCTATCATAATAGTAAATGAAAATGAAAACCTTAATAGGGTAAATAAGCGTTCTCACTACCAAAATAAGTTTATGGAGAATATCGAAAAGCATGAGTTACAAATTTTGAGGCAATATTATTAGTAAGTAATACTGCTTGGATTTATATAGAAAGGAATGAGATATAAAGTTGTGTCCCATAGTATAGTCAGGGTTTTGCAAATTTGAGTCACAAAAAGGAATGCTAAGATTAATAGTATCATGTATATTCTACAATGATAGCAGTTAATTACCTTTCTTATGCTTGTTTATTGAATAAATGAAGAGGGATTTAGAATTACTAATTTTTGGTTGCGAAGTCTTTTGAATGAATTAAAATAAGAAACGGAAAAGATAAATATGGATAAGATGGAGCTAGAGTCTATCTGACATGGAGGGGATAATTAGAAATTGAAATAGATATATTTATAAAGAATGTCTGTTTGGCAAGATCAAATATAACAGACAAAATTTTGTATCAAAAATTTATGATCAGTAAATTCTGAGGTAATTCATTTTTGTACATTAAAGTGTAATGTTGTGACAGGGACAAGAAGGATTAAAAGTCATGATTTACTTTTATTACTTTTGCTGAATCCTATAAAATGAGTAACTTAATTTATACACTGTTCACGTTTGAACTTTAAAATCAACTCAGCAAGCATATTTACATATTTAAGTTAGCTAAAGAAGAGGTAGGAATTGTTTACTTTTCATTCTTCATTACTTTGTTAAGAAAGTGACAAAATGGCTGAAGCGATATCTAAGTGATTAGGAATATGTATTGCTCTTGCAGTGGACCAGAGTTTGATTCCTACTTCCCTCATCAGGGAGCTTACAACTGTCCGTAACTCTAGTTCCAGTGAGATCAGATGTCTCTGGCCTCCAAGGGTTCCTGCACTCACATGTATATATCCATATCCATAGACACACATACACATAATTAAAAATTATGAAAAATTTAAAATTAGTAGCATTTGTTATTAAAAACATTAGAAGAGGTTTTAGAAACTACCCAGTAATTAACTTATTTCTAAAAATATAAGGGATCCTTTTCTGACACATAGTGACACATACCTTTTCACTATTTAGGCCCAAGCTATCAGGTTTTGACATCGAAGCATAAAATAGGAAATCTATTTTTATTGCATTTGCCAATTTTATTACTGAATTTTCTGCTTAAGATTGTTGCAAGGGACAGTTTTAGGCAACAACAGTATCAAAACAAGCAGTAGATTACTGATACTATCAATCTATGTTGATGGGTACACATATATTTGACAGTATGAACATAATAAATTGATTTGGATTTGCATCAGTGGGTTTTCACTTCATTTTAATACCATTCAGCTAATGAAAATTACATGTTACATAATTAAATTTTAATTCCTGTGAAAATAATTACAGATAATAGTGAGGAATTAATGTCATTGTAAGTAGGAATATGGCTCTGTGACAGGGTTTACTCTCAGAGAATCAAAGTTTCATTTTCTGGGATGGAACAGTACAATAAAATATCTCTGTATCACAGATATCCATAATTATTACCACTGAAATTTAGAAAGTTTTTGTAGCCCTTGTAAAAAATCATAATTGATCATCAATTCTAATAAAAGTAATTTTAGACATATAATCCTTAAGTAATGTTCTTCGAAGCCAGAAAAAATCAAAGAAATGTTAAGAATCATATTTCAAAATACCTACATTGTAATGGCAAATAGTTGAGTTTTTCTATATTTATTTTGCATTTGTTCACAGATGTAGTTAATGCTCAGATATGAGGCAAAATACATCACTTTCTATTAGTTCTATTCTGCTTTGCAGTATAGAAAATTTCAAATTATTTTTGTATAGATTTTATATTGTTAAGAATTTCAGGAAATATAAAATTTGAATAATTTGTTACTTCTACCATATCACTAGCCTATTTTGTATGCAGTTTGATAAATTTGGAAGTTCTCAGTAAAACATTAGATATTTTAAATTTTATTTTGTTGTATCCCTAATCTTGACTATTTGGTAAAAGGGTGAAACCTTTCTTCCTTTACTTTCATGGTAGATCTGTTTAATAAAGGACACTAAATTCGCCAGTTAAATCAGTTAGGAAAGCAATATTTTAAGACATTGAGTCTGTTCTTCCCCCACTCAACACTGTGAAATGTGGAGTTTACTGCATAGTGTTCTTTAAAACATATTCTGTCGCACCAGTCCCAAGTTGCTATGACAAATGGTTATAAATTTTAACTATGTTAGAAGAATGGAATGTGACTTAGACGATGACAAAGCAGATGGTTTATTGCTCAGCAAGTGGAAGAAAAGATTAGTAACTGACTTGGTCTCAAGATTCAGCTTCATTCAAGTTAATTTACCACCAGTGAGCTTGGCTTTGAAAGTTATCTAAGAACACAGTGTAAAGTATTTTCCATATCAGGCTTGGAAACCTTTCCTAACACATTGTTAGTTTTCATCAAAATGCCATTTGATATTTATTCTTTCCCAGTACAATGGAGTTAGATTTCAACAACTTCAAAGAGATTTAATAGAAAAAATAAACCTAGCATTATTTATTTACTGAGTAATCCATAGTAATATGTTAATGAATGGAAATTTTTTGAGAATCAAACATTACAATGAATAAAACACTTCTTTTAGTGTAGTAGGAAGAACCTACATATGAAAATGAATTTGTTAAAGCATACACAATCCTATTATGCCTTCTTTGAAACCATAGTCATGACTAATTTCATGTTATAAAACATTACTCATTTTTCTTTTAATCCTTTTTTCATTTTTATTTCAGTATATTGACCCTCTTTTTATGTCATTATGTTGAAATATATTTAAAATCTTTGCTTTCCAATTCTTAAACCTTCTCTCCTATAGCAACTTAGCTTCATTCTGTTAATTCTTTCCCTCTTAAAATTAATATATAAGAGTTATGCAGAAGGATGAAGAATTTCAATATAACATTTTCACATATACATGTTACATAACTTAGTCATACTTATTTCCATATGTAAATACTATGTGGTAAGTACCATTTATCCTTATGATTAAGCTTCAGTTTCCTGTCCTTCTATTCTCTAACATTCTGCAAGAAAAAAATTTTGAAATCATTATACAACCGTGCAACCTAAATTAACCTTTCTTTTGATCTGTCTTTTACATCTAATTTTTCTAATCCTATTAATAGAAATTAAAATCTAATGTAAAGACCAAAGATATGTGATAGCAAAAACTAATATCTGAACAAATATTTGCATAAATATCTGGTTCCAAGTAGAAGACTGTACTGAGAACAAAGAAAATATATTATCTTACTAGGTAATTTATCACTCATATAGCCTATAGAGTAGAAACTTTTCCAAATATTCATAGCTGTTTAAATTCCAGAATTGATGGCTGGTTAATTTTATAGACTCTGAGGTAAGTTACAGTTGTGATGGGGGACTTGAACTATTTGGACAGCTGCTAGAAATGTCATTCTATTAATAGCAAGACATGTGCCTGACTATGCCTACCATTCCCTTCTTTCACTACTACTTGCTAACTATAAGATGATATGATCAGTCTTCCAAAGCTTCCTGTTACTTCTAAATAGTTTTTCTTATATTTGGACAAAGAACACAGTCATAATGGTTTTCTTTTTCGAGACATAAGATTACCAAGGGTTCACGTCTCCAGACTCAGGTGAATTTTATCTGGGTGTGGGAGTGGGAACTAAGCATGTATACATAGCATTTAAGGAGCAGGAGCGGTAATCTTAAACAAAAGAGAATTCAAAGCCTAGGGCCGGAAATTTTGTCAATTAAGGATATTTTACATTTTTTCTCAGAGTGTAAACCTTTTTATATTTAAAAATATGATTGAATATGAATATAGTCTCAGTTGTAGATGAATGTATGGGCTGATAGTATATATATGAATACATATGTATATATAAAGCATAGTAGAAATAGTACTGAAACGTTTGGATTGCCACATTTCATGTTATCTTTATTGTAACCTCTTTTTAAAATTCTATCTATTTATTGGATTTGTTTTGTTAATAAGTTGTCTTGTTTCCCCCTCTTAGGGTAAAGTTGAAGAGCAAGTTATGTCAAAAGAAGACCAGGTAAGAAAGCAATGGTAACAACAATAAAAACAAATCTTTTGATGTGAAGTAAAGAAAATAACTTTTTACAATGTTAAGGATTTAATTATAGTAATATGGATATAATATGCTTTATAATTTTATGGTAAGTATATAGTTAATGAGATGTTTCAGGATTTCTGCTATTAACAGCTGGTTTTAATGTGGAAAAAATGTGAGTCAAATGGGATCTTTTCACTATGTCAGATATCCAGATGGGAAACATCTGGATGGTTAATTGGTTCATGCTGAATGAATACTAGTTAATACAGTTTCTGTAAAAGTTCTAGCACCTCATCTGTTTTGATCCTGCGATTTTGGGTGTCATAGAAGTTTGGCATATTGCTCTCTCATACCTGTATAGATCAAGCATATTCTCTCTCTCTCTCTCTCTCTCTCTCTCTCTCTCTCTCTCTCTCTCTCTCTCTCTCTCTCTCTCTCTCTCTGGAGTATATATGTTGTAAGGTGGAGGGAGTGAGAGACAGAGTTTGAGAGATTTAGAGAATAGAGCATGTAATGGCTATATAGCATGCAAGAATGTTTTAGTGACTCCTGGACAAAACATACTATTTTGCCCTTTTGATACAATACATAAAAATTTTAAACCATGAAATTTTAGTTTTACTTTTTTTTGTATTCACTATATATGTTTACTGGATTTTTTATCATTAACATGAACTTGATATACACACATACACGCATGCACACACACACACATGCGCACACGCACACACACACACAAACAGATAGCAAGTGAATATACAGAGGGACTATTAAACAAGGTTGTATTTCATCAAAAGGTTATTACATAATCTATTTTCTATCACTGTACTTAACAGAATATTAACATGAATAAACAAATCAAGTATATGATGATTCTCAAAAATTATTTGTACATAGACTTTAAAACAGTATTATGTAGTAATTCACATTTTCAGGATTTTAAAAATCATTTCAGTATAATTCATGGTGTGATTAATTTGTATATGTAAGTTCTCAATTTGAAAATGTGATGTTTTACAATACAAATTTAATAGGCTGTATCTTAATGTAGCCTTTCATATGAAGTGTTTCTCTACTTATTCACTTTGTCCTGGGGTCAGATATTCTTGGAGATACAAATCATTTCTGGTCTTTGTCATTTTTAACCTACTATTATTACTTACTTTTAAATGTCTGCAGTAATTTCTAATGGAAAACATAAGTAAATGTCATTATGATCATTAAGTGACATTTTGCCAAAGGGTGTTTTATGCTCATTTTATTTGGAATTATCTTACTATTTTGTCCATTATTTAATTTTAATTTAGGGATACTTTTGGGTGCATGAAATTAGTTTAGTATATGCAAGCATAAAATAAACTGACTCTAAATCTAAATAAATCATGACTCTATTTAGCATAGAGTTTTAGAAGGTATGTTCTGGAGTCTGTCTGCTGTTTTTAAATTCCAGATGAAAATTACTAGTTATGTGACCTTTTGCACAAATTTGTCTCAGAACTTCTGTAGCTTTATTTGGAAATGGAGATGACAATGCTAAAAATGTCTATCTTACAAGTAATACCTGCTTTGTGATCACTAATGTTAGGACTGTTTCTTCATGGTGCTCAAAAATTCTTGCTATATTTGCATTTCTCTCTGTCCCCATTTTCCTTCTATTCACATTTCTACCTCCTTTTTCCTCATCTTCAGTCTTCTTATTGTTGCTATCATTGATATTGCTGTTACATAAAGTTATTTTTCCTATATAATTAATCAATAGCAGTGGTTCTCAGTCTTCCTAATGCTGCAACCCTTTAATACAGTTCTTCATATTGTGGTGACCCCTGACATAAAACTGTATTCTTTGCTATCTAGTAACTGTTATTTTGTTGCTGTTATGAATTGTAATGAAAGTATCTATATGAAGGGTAGCTGATATGACTACCCACCTCTGCTGTAAAAGGATCATTCACCCTCAGAGGGGTCATGACCCACAAGTCGAGAACCACTGATCTAGCTTAATCTTTTCTTCGGTTTAACCTTCCTGTAACAGTTTCTTTCTCAAAATTCTAGCAGATGAATCTTACATTGCCAAATTTATTATTAAAAGCCCCTCCTAGGTTTAGTGCCTGTACTTAATACAACTCTCCCTTTATCTGTTCTGCATTCTTATCTTTTTAAAATTCACTTCAGGTAATTAAGTCTTCTATTTGTTGCTTGCTATGAACATCAGATGATATGAATGAAGAGAAAAGGATCAGCAAGCCATCGTAAAAACTTATAATAACAACAGTAATAGCAAAATATTAACAGTCCTTAACTTTTATATCTTTATTACTGTAAAACACAATATATACATCTATGCATGTATTAATATATACTATGCTACATACACTCATATGATTTTAGTCTTAAAAACTGGTTTAGGGGTTCTATATAACTTGATGTTTTCTCATCAGTATATGTATACAACATCCACATCCACACATACACACCTATATATCATCTATATCTCTATTTTCAAGAGAGCAAGTCAGGCCAAAAGCAGTCAAATAAAATTACAAAAACATTCCTAGAGAAGATGTCTAGTTCAACCTAGTTTGTAGAATAACATGAGAATAAGACCTTCCAAGCCGGGCGTTGATGGCGCACGCCTTTAATCCCAGCACTTGGGAGGCAGAGGCAGGCGGATCTCTGTGAGTTCGAGGCCAGCCTGGTCTACAAGAGCTAGTTCCAGGACAGCCTCCAAAGCCACAGAGAAACCCTGTCTCAAAAAACCAAAAAAAAAAAAAGACCTTCCAAAAAGGAGTTTGTGAGGCAGAATCAACCTAAGTTAAATAAAACCTGAGCAAAAGAACAGAGGTTAAAAAAAAACAGATATGTTTGGTACATAGTGAAACCTTAGCTGTATGAACGTAATGGAAGATTAGTTGGAGAATTTTTGTGGATATCTGCATTGCTTTGTATTTCCAAGAGTAGAAGTTGGGGAGAAGTCTACTTTTAACTTTTAACATAGTGTTCTGACTCCTCAACTTCCAAGTCAAAAGAAAAAAATATTGTTGGGTTTTATGTATAAATCATTTTGTAGATTGTTTTTTGTTCATGATTTGAGTATTCCCAAATTTTTGGAAGATATAAAAATTTCATGAGAAGTCAAAGGTTAAGCATTTTTAGCTGACAGGAATATTGCATTTATTTTTGTTGTATTGACAAATTATAAAACATGAGTGAAGGAGTGGGAAGATGGCTCAGGAACTCACTTGCCAGCCAGCCAGTGTAGTCAAAATGTTGAACTTCCACTTGGGTAAGAATCCCTGTCTAAGAATAAAATGTGACAAACCTCTGACTTATACACACATACCTACTCAATTATAAGAAAATAAATGAAGAGTTAATGTATAAAGCAGTGTTGCATTGGTTGTAGTTTAAGAATTGCACATCTGTAAAAAGCATGCACAGTGTTTATGTGTGATGTGTAGACAACTGACAAATATTGTATACAATAATAGCATTAAGTGAGTATAGTATAATTGTTACAAATAATAATGAAATATACAGTATTATTTACTGTAAATACATATACCCAACTGATACTGTGGGAATGTTTCTCATTAATTTTGACCTAATGTAGCTAACTGTGCTTACAGCTAATCAATGTAATTTCATCAGAAATTTTAATGAGCTTTTGTTCCAATTAATAAGCAAAAATGAAGTTATTTATACATGTGATAAAAATTCACTCAATAATGTGAATTACATTTTTACTCAAATGAATTTTTAAAATTCAGAATAATGCTTTATCTTGTATACTATTCATAATAGATCAAAATGTCATATTTTGAAGTTAAATTTGTCATTAATATTGATTATTTTCATGAACCTAAACAACTAACAAAATAATATTTAACTTGTCATCCTTTTAAATTCCATATAAATACTTCTATGGCTGAATTTAAACTACCTACTCATAGACTTAGAAAGTGAAGTAGAATAGCATACCATTATATTAGTACAGCAGATGAAAATATCTCAGAAACAACAAATAGCTAAGTATGTTAAAACAATAAAGAAGTGGTTGGTTTTGATAATGTTATATTATCTTTTTGTAGAATGTATTTAATTACTTTTTTGTTTATGCTTGTGTGTGTATGTGTGTTCATATATATGCAGATGCATGGTACATATGTGTGCATGCATGAGGATTCCTGAGAATAACCCCAGGTGCCATCTCTCAAGTACAAAACCCTTTTCATTAGAACAAGGGCTCTTATATGCCTGCAATTTATCAAGCAGGCTAAAGTGGCTGACCTGTATGCCTTTTGAGCTCCACCTGTCTCTACCTCCCCAGCTCTGAGATTTTAAGAGCATGCCACACACCAAGATTTTACTTTTAATGTGCATTTTGGGGCTAGAATTCAAGCCCTTGTGTTTATAAGGAAAATATGCTACTAACTGAAGTATCTCCCCTGACCTCGAGTTTTATTTTTAATAATGTAAGAAATAGTTTGTAGAACTCATTATAATTTAACAGTTTGCCTCTAGCAAACCAATAAAAGTCAACTTTAGTAGTTTGTTAGGAAGTTATTAGTTTCATTTCTTAAATAAGAATCTGTAGCTAGTGCTGGGTGTTACTAAGTATATTAAGGTGGTAGACAACATTAGTCATACAGAGGAAATCAGTATAGAAAAGAAGTAATTATTAAAATTATTCTGCCAATATCTCTGCCGGAAGCAAAGAATTCTATGTTGGATGGTGTGTTTAGTATTGGTTTTTCATGGCATTATATAACACCTCTCTCTGGGAAACTTTTAATATATTCTTATAAAAGGAATTAACCTCCAAATATTATGGAATTTAGAACTGTCAAGGTAGCTAAAGAATGAAGAAGAAATGTAGAGTTTAGGGTAGAGGGGATTGGCATATCGAAATGATGGCAAAGAGTCTATCTCAGTAGTAACCTGGAAACAAGTATCTCCAAGTATATTGTCTAATGCTGTTTACTAAATTACTTAGAGTTCTGTAATGCATATGCCAAGTTCTATGAGAGAATTATTGCCTTGTTGGAATTATAGAAATGAGTCCATTTTCCTTGTTGATTGTCAGTGGAAACCATTTTCAGATCCTGCAGGATGCCCACATTATTTGCCTCTTAGCTTTGTTCTTTCATCTTAGAAGGCAGAAATAGCTTAAGTTTCTCTAAACTTTTAACTTCTAGGTGGTGGCGCATGCCTTTAGTCCCAGAACTCAGGAGGCAGATGCAGGTGGATCTCTGTGTGTTCGAGACCAGTCTGGTCTACAGAGTTAGTTCCAGGACAGCCTCCAAAGCCACAGAGAAACCCTGTCTTGAAAAAACAAAAAATAAAAAAGAAAACAAAAAAAACACCACCAATAACAAAACACCCAAAACTTTTAACTTCCCCAGTGTCTTTTTCAGTTATAACAATTTTGTGAACTATTTTTTGCTTTCTGATGTTGCCTTTAAAGGCTTATGCTAATTATACTGGGCCCACCTATACAATAAAATATTAACATTCTCAGGTCAGCTGATCTGTACCCTTAATTCTGCCAGCACTCCATGATCACTTATTCTTTTCTTTTTCACCTGTTGGGGACCTCTGCAGAAGCCTGAGTCTACTGGGAAAAGATATCTTATTGATAAGTGGTCAAAACTAATCTGTGGATATAAAGATTGGTATTTAGAGTACAATTAGGAATCTTACTGGTTTATTAAAATGGAAGTAGAAGGTTCTCTTCTAGCTTCTGTGACCTCTCTAGTCAAGGATAGTTGGTGAGATTTACAGCACCAGGCATGAATTCCTATTGAGTGGAACTTAGACTGCTGTTGGTAAAATGTAAGATGAAAGTGCCACATTTGTAGTATTGGGTATGTATTTCTGGGATAGTGTGGTGCATAGGCTTTCCATATAGATACGACTACTTAAATTTATTCAGGAGTTTGTTCATGTCCTATTATAGTAATCATTCTTTTGAAATCTTAATGGCTTCATCTAATACTCTATTTGAAATACACTTTTTTGTGAAATTGATAGTTTCTAGAGGGGTCATGTTGTCTTGATTTTTTTCATGTTTCTTCATTGGAATGTGTGTATTTGAGAATAGGTTAGTGGCTGTAATCTTTTGTTTTTCTATTTTACTGACCCATATTCTTTCAATTGAATTGTTTAAAATTTATGTGGGATTAGACTCTAATAGGGCTAAGGTAAACTTGTTCTCTACTTGACTGTGGATGTTGCTTAATAAAAGTAAACTAATCCCACATTCTCTTGGTGTTGGTCTCAATTTTCAGCACCACAGAAGAATACTAGTTCCAAAACACCAACAATTGATAATTTTAAACAATGCCCTTTGAACTTGAGTGACTTTGGGGAGATAGAAGAACACCTATTATATGATGGGTATTAAGATAATAGTTATGCCAGGTGGTGGTGGCACACACCTTTAATCTCAGCACTCAGAAGGCAGAGGTGGCCTGATGTCTTATGATTTCTAGGCCAGCCTGGTCTACAAAGTGAGTTCCAGGATAGCTAGGGCTACACAGAGAAACCCTGTATCAGAAACACACCCCCAAAGATAATAATTATTAAGGATATGAATTAAAAGGAAATAAGCATGGGGTTAGTTATTAGTATTAGATCAGTGGCAAAAATAGATAAGGCAAAAGTAAACAGAAGAAAATCAATGAACATGAAAGGAGAAGAAAAAATAGTTTCACCTAAAAGTAGAATGGTGTCTCTTCTACATCTGAACAGCCAACAGTCATTTATTCTCATGTTTTCAGTGTTTTGACCAGTTGTGGGTCTCTCCATTAATAACCACCAACTGCAACAAGAAGCTTCTCTGACTGACTAAGGCTGAAAGCATCACTAGACTATAGATACAAATATTTATAATTTAGTTTAACTACATGTTGAATTAGAAAAATCTGCATATTTCTATCTAAGACCTATGGCCTCCTTAGGAATTGGCTTCTATTCCCCTTTGGTTTTTCAAGACAGGGTTTCTCTGTATAGCAGCCCTGGCTGTCCTGAAACTCACTTTGTAGACCAGGCTGGCCTCAAACTCACAGAGATCCAAGATCCATCGACTGCTGGTATTAGATGCATGAGCTACCACTGCCCAGCTAGACATAGGCTTTTGATGAAGTAAATTAAGGAAGTATAGGTGGAAGGAAATACATGTTAACGCTTTATATCTAGAAAATTTGTTTCTTAAATAATAAAAGATCCCTGGTCCCTCGACTTTCAAAGACTAAAAGGAAATTTCTTTCTAAACCTATCTTCTCAGCTCTTAGTAAATCACTTATTATTTCTTGGACATTATATATGGAAATTAAAGTTATGTTTCCTAAAGTGAAGGCCATGTGAGCCATTATTACAACTTTCTGCTTATTTCTGAAAGCTGTTGGATGAGGCTCTGGATAAAAATGTAATGAATGACAGTATGTGTATACATGTTAATGCACATCATTTTTATTTGATACATATAAGTACCAAAAACTCAGTTAAGAATATTTAGTCTGTGTATGTTTAAATTATGCTCTTATAATATTCTACACAGAATTACTAGTGCTTTAGCATAAATGGAAAGTAAGTATCCCATTTCCTATATCTTACATATGTACCAAAGCTATCTAAAGTATAAAATATTGTTGAGGCATATCGCCTCAACAGATTATACATTTTCAGGGGTGAATTATATATACTAAATCAGTATAATAAATATTAAGTGTTAATTATAGTTTAATTTTTGTAACATTATAAAACATTTTTGCATTCATTCTTTTTTTTGATGGCTTCCTTGAGTGATAAGACTATTGCTAGAAAAATGTCTAAAGATTGAAAATTTCTTGATGATAGTTTTGTATGTTTCATATATTATTTTGGCAAAATGATGTTGATAACTGGACCTATTCCATTTTTATAATGCTCTAGAAAAACACATCTTCATTTCTTGTGTCCAAACTCCCACTTTAATTTCAGAATATCAGAAAGATGCCTACCAGATTTGGAAAAGAAAGTGAACAACTTGAGCGTGCTATTGATCGTGTTTTTGTAACAATATCGGAAAGAAGATTGGCACGTAGTCTCCATGGCACTAGTGAACAGCCACCTCATAGAGTTCTTACAGCTACCCTTGACCTGGTTAATATTGCCAGCAAGATATTAAACATTCTGGAAAGGTAATTCCTAATATCTGATAGTAAAACGCATGACACAGTTGTATTTCCCCTTTATTTCTTCTCAGAAATCTTAGGTGTGGAATGGATTGGTTTTCATGCATCCTTTCAAATATGTTTAGAGACATTTTATTTATGCCATGATTATCTCCCTTGAATGTACAAGATAGTTACATTGTTCCTTTTAAATATTTTACCATCTGACTTTTACAATTCATTCAAGAAAAGTAGTGATTTTTAAATGAAGATTCCCCTTTAGTTCTTTTTAGAGATCAAATTACACTCACACTTCAAAAAAAACCAGAATTTAAGCCGGGTTATAAAATATTTGGCCTTTAATAATAAGTTACTTCAAATATTTCCAGTGACCTTGAATGTATGAAAGAATGATTTTATACGCACTACAAGTTTATAAGATAGAACATCATCTTAATATTATGTTACTGGTAACAAGGTATAATTTAAATCTTATTGTAGAAGTTTTGATCTTTTAAAAGTTTTTTGTTATGACAACAAATGGAAACCATAGAACATATTGGTGATGCTCATGTCATAATGTTGTATTCCATTTGTCATTTAAAATGCAAGTATTTCTACTGATTTAAGGGAGAAAAATAAAAAAAATTCATTTTTGGGTAGCATATAGTAATTGAGGACCACTTGTCAAAATATAATTATCCTAACTTATATTTTTAAGTAAATGTGAAATGACTGTGTTTGTGGTGAAAATTAAGAGGTATAGTAGAATTATGGATGTTGTTCCATTTATTGAAAAGTTTGACTCTAAAAATAAGTGGGATAAAAATGACCAAAGAATTTGGACGACATTTGACCATTGACAGAGTTGTAGATGATGGTCTTATAGATCCTCACAAAATATTTCTACCACTTGAGTTTATAAGCTTAATTATAGATCTAGTTAACTATTATATCTTTTTAAGAGTCTTTACTCATGCTACAGTCCTTAGAAGTAGGTCTCAAAAATGGCATTTATTCAAATGCCAGTCATTGTAATTTAAAAATTTGGAGGAAGCTATAAATTTTCTTTTTCCTTTTGATTTATAAAGAAAATTTTAAGGTCAATGGTGGGAATATTTACGAATTCAGAACTATAATACTTTATGATTTGTTTTATGTAAACAAATTAAAAATTATTGTCCATTTTTCAAAGACAATTGCAGGCATTTTGAATACAAGTCCTTGTATCTACAAGGGGAGTTTCACCTCACCTTATACCCATTATTCAGATGGATAATTTCCCCACAAAGCCATATATTTTTCTTTTATTTCTTTCAGGCCTCCCAATAGCAGAAGGTTAAATGCTATGTTTTATATCTGGGATCCCAATTTTCCTTTAGCTATGATATCTTAATTTATATTAAGTACTCCTTTCATTTATGTTAAAAATGAATACCAATAAGATCAGTTTTTTATTTTCAGATTCATCTATCTGTGGATAATATAGTTAGTTTATATTTAGCTTTTTGCTATTTAGTTTTTTTATATAATCAATCATTTGTATAATAAATAAGGGAAAGTAAATATTAGAAGATAAACCTATTAACTTTCTCTTTACAATAATTTAAACATGGGAATAATTATAACAAATTGTGTTCTTAACATCTTTACCCCCTTTTAGATCATAAAAATATCACTTTTGTTAATGTCTACTTAAATTTGTTACATGCTTGATAATCGTACTGTGATGTTCTATAATTTTGCTATTTGCACTTTTTGTCTAAAATGCTTTGTGTTTTAAAGTATAAGTTTCAATTTCCTAAGGAATAAAGACATGTATTCAAAGAAACTCAGATTGATGGAATCTCTTTGTCACCCTTCCCTGGCAGGCCACCATTTGATTGCATGTCAGAATTTTCCAGTCTGAAAAATCATCTCATTAAACACATCACATTACTGAAACATTATTCTGAACAGGTAAGACATAGTTTTGTTGTGCTGTTCTCCATTCATATTCCTATGCATTTATTTATCAAGTCCAGTATATTTTCACTAACACTCATGCAACCTGTCTTTTCTTTACCCTCATGTTTCGACATATTCAGTGACCAAGTGGAGCTGTCACTTCAAATCCCTTTTCCATTGTATTAAAATTGACCATCGTTGCTGAATTGTTTTAAAATCCTTCAGATGTTCACTTTTCTCTAGTAAGGATCGTAAAAACTGAATAATCTAGTATTGAGTATGAGTGAGTCATAAAATATCTATCTCCACATACTCTATATGTTTATATATATTTATATTTAGCCATGATATCTTAAATTATCTCAAATATTTTTCATTTCTGTTCAAAAATGAATAACAAATGCAATCCTTTTTTAATTCTCAAGGTTCGTCTACTTTTGGATAATATAATCCATGATATATCCATTATTAGTATAGTAAGTTAAGAGAAATGAATTATTAAAAGTTAACATACTCAACCTTTAACCTAACAAAAATTTTATACAGTTTGTTTTAATTATTCTGGTTCAAATTTATGTATGTGTATGCCCCTTACATTACCATCAAAATGTTTTGCTCATGTTCTTTAAATTTTTTATGTTTATTTCACTCAGTGATAAGCTCTTCATCATACTACTTATATGTATGTATGTACAAGGATGTACTCCCATAGCTTCTCTCATCCAAATACAGTTTCTTTTTTATGGAATAATTGATTCATTTATTCATGTATTCATTCATGCTATAATTCATTTGTATAAACTTCCCATTCATCCATGCATCTCTCCAGTAGTCCACCAAACAAGGCAACTTCTCTTTTTATAGCTCTTATGCTTCCATTAGCCACTAAAATCACATAGATGGCAGGCAGTATTCAATACAGATCAAAATGAAGTAAAGATTAGCTAATAAATTAAAATTTTATTTTTGGAAGCTAGACAAGAAATTAGCATTCTATGCTTTGTTAGGTTATTTTAATTTCATGCTAATTTGAATTTTTGTCTTGTGTGTAAACATTCTAGGATACATAAAAGATAAAAGACAAATAGAGTTATTTAAAGTTTAACAAAATAATGATATTTAAACAAGCAAAATTATTTAAATTTAATGTTTATATGATATGTTAACTGAAGTTTAAGCCTCCCAAGGACAAGTGTTATCCTACATCCTTTTATATTAGGATTGTTAACTTCATACATAGTAAGTGGCCTCATAAACATTTGATGGTAGTTTGGATATGAGGATCTCTTCTTATGGATCCAGTTGTTTGGCAGACTGAGGCAAAAGGGACACTTGAGTCCAAGAGTTCGAAGCCATCTTAAATAGTGTGGTGAGACCGGGTGTGTGTGTGTGTGTGTGTGTGTGTGTGTGTGTGTGTGTGTGTGTGTGTGAAGTTAATATCATCACTGGTATTGTTTTTATATGATTTGTTATTTCTCAAAAATTAGTTTGAAGGTTGGTTACACATGAATAAAATCAATAATTACAGCTCATACTTTCATGATATCCAGTGTTTCACAAATACTGTTCAATCTACTTATCCTTATAAACTTGTCTGGATAATTAAGTGTAGACAACTAATTACTCTATTTTTGAATTAATTGTTTTCAATTATGGATACATGTGTGTCTGTAAATGTAAATGCCAGTCAGTAGTCATGGAGGCAAGAGCTATACTTGGTTATAGCTGTTTGTGTACTATGTGGTGCAGGTGTTGGAAAATCAACTCAGGTACTCTTCAAGAACATTATGCACTCTTAGCCACTGAGACTTCTCTCCCGTAATTATTATCTCTATTAATATGCAGAGAGGATTCAGGTTTCTAGAGATCCTCTTCTTAACTTGACTTACTACGATATTTTGTTTTATTGTGGTAAAAGGATCACAGAAATTTTTATGTCCCTTGGAAAATTTCAAAATTATGCTGCAAAATCATACTGATACACTTAGTGGGCTATCTGACAAAGAAAACTAGAACTGCTAGAGGAAACAAAAAGTAAAACGCTTGTTTGTTGTCAACTTTATAGTCTGAAATCTCATAGATAAGTGAAAATAAGAAGGATATATCCTAATTTTGGTGCTCCTTTGACCTTACAAGATGTTTATCCATTCCATAAAAGATGTCAGATAACTTAAGAAGCAAAGAAATTGTTTAAGGAGAACCTAAGGTTTGACCAGGGTTTTCGTTTTCCTTATATAACTGTGTGGGACAAAATGGATATTGTTGGCTAGTCAAGCTTCTAGAGAGGAGCTGAAATTGGCTACATACTTGATAAATCATAAAAAACTGACACAAATATCAAAGGTTAGCTCTTAATCAGTGTTATCATTCATTGTATTAATCCAAACTGCCTCTACATTGATGAATACAATCAGAAGTAAATTCCCTAAAGGAAGATAATATCCATATGAGCCCCAAATTATCTCCATGACTTTTCATACACAAGGGTATTAGATAAAGATAAATTAGTAAATAAAAATAAGTCAATTAATATTAGACAATGAAAATAGAAAGGTCAGTTATTTAAGAGTTATTAAAGAGTTATTTAAGAGTATTTATTGTAATATAGAAGCAGAATTAATTTTGTGTGTTTATTTTATATTGTAACATCAATTTAAATATTAATTGTAATAGGTTTTAATCATTTCTTTAGGAATTTCTAATGTCCACTAGAAATAAATAGTTTTAAGTATTCTTTTTCAATCTTGTGCTTAATTCTTTTTTATACAATGTCTAGTTTATATCCTTCATGGAAATATATTTACAGTGAGAATTAATAGCAAACCTAGTAGCAAAGTAATCAATCAAAATTTTAAAATGTTCTTATGTTTCAAATTGGGGAAATTAATTTCTAAGTTCCTTCCTTTCATTCGCCTATTTAAGAAATATTGGGTGGCTTCTATGATCAGTCACTATGGGAGGCATAACTCATTGACATAGGCAAACTGCCATTAATTTTTTATGAAAAGGCCCAGCTAGTAAATATATTAGACTCTTGGGAGACAACAATCAAAATTTAAGATATCACATAATTACTTAAAGAAAATATAAAAATAATTTTCATAATTTTATTGACAAATTGAAAATATGATTGATTTGAATATTTTGATATAAATAAATTAGAACTAAAAATTTCAGGTTAATCACATTTTATTTAATTGCAGTTCAAAGTTAGGTTTATCTGTTATCAAAATTGATAATATTCTTTGCTTCTAATATACAATGGAATTCAATCTAGCTTCACTGAAAAAACTGTTATTACACTGATAGATTCTACTAAATATTGATATTATTCTAAAAGCCAGAGTTTAATTGAGTATATGAATACCTGGGAGTAAGTTTCCTTAACTTGGTTAGGTTTTTTAATTGTTATCTCTCTTAGCACTAAATTTTACAGCTAAATAATCACTTCCAAATTACCTTCATATGAAAGCTCATTACTTGCATAGTTAAATGGGTTCTAGAACATTTCTATTTTCTTTGAAAATGTGTGCAACCCAGAAAATGTTGTAAAGATTGTAGATTTAGCAGATAACATACACATGCTAGTTTGTGTGTTCATAGATAACTACTTGCTCTTAATTTGGCTAACAGTGTACATGTATGATCCACCTTTACATTACTTGTGAGTCAAGCATTGTTAATTGTTGAGATTACTTCAAAACTATGTTATCCAAAAATATTCCTCTGAAATTTGGGTTAAAATCATTAATAAGCATTTCAGTATCTGCAGAAAAAAATAATTACCAATGAGTCAGTGTTTGGTAACACTTTTGTAGGGAGTTCTTTCCTTTCAGAAAAGTAACAATCTTGGCACAGAGCATAAAAAATGTGAAATGAAACTTTACCTCTGTTGATCTGTCAGAATGCTATGTAATAGACAAATTCAGGCACTAAGATAGATTTTTCTAACAAAAAAAACCTCCACAAATGCAATGTTAATTCAATTAAAGTGAATAACTCTACTTGTTGATTCCACTGGATCTAATACACATGATATGTCCAATATTACTTATAGTAAGTACTTCAGGATGAATAAAATATAAAAATCAAAGACTTTAATAGTATATATTTTTCCTAAACTTTCTGTTTTATTATTAAATTCTGCTTTCTATAGCTATTCATTTTTATCATTGCCACTCCAGTAAAAATACATTGAATGTAGTTCTAAAAATAGCTAGAGATTATTTTTGTTTACTTATTAATATGTCTGTTACTGTTCCTTAAAGAATTTAAAGTAAAAACCCAATCTAAACAAAGTAGTATATAGTAGTTTGCATGCTAACCAATTCTAGAATGTGCTAGATACTGAAGAAAGTAGAAAGAAATGCCATTTAGAAGTATCAATAGAACTAAGTGTCTGGTTATAGAAATAAGCACAATTGTCACAGAAAGCAGAGAAGAAATTTTTTCTTTTGAACAAGTGTGTAAGAAATGAATAAAGCTTATCAAAAAGTCATAGCATTTGAACAATCAGTCATCATCTTGACCTAAAGTGAAAACTAAGAAAGCTTGATTGAAAATACTCTCACAGTATTTCTAGAATTACTGATCAGAAACTAAAAGCCTCTAACCTTCCTCTGCATCTGTACTGGGCAAAATGATTTAAAAACAGGATAATAGTTCAATCAATCATTTGTAAGGATAAAGCTTTTGTCATCGAAAAAGTGAGGGGTTTCTAAAGAAATGGCCCTAAAATCATAAAGTTTGAAAGAAAGTATCACATAAAGGACTTAATAAAACTTTCTTCCTAAGCTTTTTTCCCAAATTCTGATTTCTTTCCCAATTTCATGTAGCAATTACCTGAGAAGTTTAAAAAATACTGATAATCAGCCCCATCCCCAGGTATTTTAGATTCAATTAATATGAAATAAAACTTGGTCATTTTCACTTCTCAAAATTTCTCCAAATAATAATATATATCCAGTTATAAGAACCATGCTCTTAAATGTTACCTTCAAATAAAATACATTTATTTACTTTCATTTTTATTTATTTAACCAGCAGGGAAAGGCTTTTTATAGTGGGTGAAGAAGCATACACTTACAGCAACTACACAAAGAACAAGGCCTTATGTAAATTGGGACCACACACCATGATTCAGAGTTTTAGTTAATTGTGTTTTTTCTGTAGTGGTAGTCATCTGTTGCAAAAATAAGTTTCCCTGATGAGGGTGAAGACAGCACTCATTTGAGAGTATAATGACAAATATTTAGATTTTTAAGGATCTGAGAAAATGCTGAAGGAAAACCCCAGATTTATATAGTATGCAACGACAAAGAGCATTTACTTTATAGAAACTTCCAACATGTGGGGTTTGACCACTTGCACAAATAGTGACCTGGGGCAAAGGCATGCAGGTCCTTTTAAGCATAATTAGGGAAATTTCAGAAACAGTTAGATCATCTAAAGCATGATTAGTTAAACAAGAATTAGTTATATTAATATATTTTTGATTGACTGAGATTTTAGTTTTTCCATCTTTGGGCATACTGGGACAAGTCTGAGCCTGTTTCAAGGGGTTACAGAACTTTCCTTTTTTCATCACAGTCTTGTGATACTGTGGAGGGCAGGCTAAGTCCTCATATATGCTTCACTCCTTGTCTCTGTTGACAGGGGCAATGTTAACTAATGGCCCTTTGTAGGAAAAAAAACTTGTTTGTTCTTAAAAACCTGAAATCTATGTCCATTTGTAAAATGGGGAAAATTTAGATCTCCCATTTCCCCCTTGAGTTTGGCTCGATCTCAAATCCTTGAGATTGATCAAGAGGCTGATATTGGGATCTGATGACCGTCCGTTTAATAGTGCCCAGACAGAAATTATAATTTTGTTAAAGCACCAATGATGTAAGAGCCAATAGTAATTAGCAAAGCAGAAGAGCAAAGGGTCATATGATGGCTGACAGAATTTCTATCTAAAAGGAACCTGGAAATGAGAATGAAGACAAGTTATTTATTTTGTCTCAAGTCCCCTATGACAGGGAGTTTCTCCTCTGTTGGAGGACAAGCACAACATACTTGCTCCTTGCTCCTGTAATTGCTTCCTGTTGAAACTAGGATATTGTTGTTAGGACCCAGGAAGTTTGGAATGACAGTCAAAAGCAAGGAGGGAATTCAGGCAGTGGAACATTGATCAAATGCATCTGGTTCACTGACCTAGTTGAAGAGACAGGGAGCATTCACATTGTCTGGAATGGTCCACATCAACATTTACCTAGTCCAGGGCTCACAGTCATTTGGAGCAGGTTGTAGTCAGCAACTGCTTCTTGAATGTATCTGTCAGCCATGTGGAAATCTGATGAGACAGATATAGACTAAGAACAGAAGTTAAAATTTGCTTTTGTTTGAGTAATCCTGATGACTACTCAGAAAGAAGAAGTATAAGATAAAAACACATACTAATTATGTATGGTAATAGGGAATTTTAACTATTGAAATATTTAAAAGGATGACTTAAGTACATATTAAAATATTTAATGAGAAAAACTTCAGAATGTGTTGTGCATGAATAGATGACAAATTGAGTATGGGGATGCAGTCTTTTAATTCCAGCACCCAGGATGCTCATGCAAAATAATCAAGAGTTTATGGCCAATATGGGCTACATAACATGTTCCAGGGCAATCTATACTACCTTTTGAGGTTAAAACATACAGTATTGTACATCTTGTATGAGTAAAACGCTATTAATAATGTTAATAGTTAATCTTAGTGAGAAAGGCATGTCAGAACCAGAAATGAACAGCTAAATTAGGGAATATTTTAATATCTCTCTCTCTCTCTCTCTCTCTCTCTCTCTCTCTCTCTCTCTCTCTCTCAATAAAAAGAAACAAACCAGTGCCATACATAATAACATAAGAGATTTTCACATATTATGTTCAATAAAAGAATCCCATGTAGCACATATTTTACAAACAAATATATAGTCTCTACATGAAGTTCAAAAACAAGAAAAGTTTATCTACGACACATCTTTTGACAAATAAACTATGTATTGGAAGAGAGCCAGAGAAAGGCTCATATGTATTGAAACCGTGTTTGATCTGTGGCTGCTATGTGGGTGGTTCCATATGTTTACCTTTCTGTATGTATGTTGTGCTGTAGCCCTTAACACATTAAAGAGAGCCTCAGAGTATGTGTCAATGTGACATTAAGGATGAAACATAAACAACTTCTTGAACTAATTTCACCAAGAGAAATCCAAAATTTGAACTTAAGCTTCTCCTAGTGTCTTCTGTGTGTAGTTTGTAATTACTGGCCTGACCTATGTGTTGTGTGTGTCTTATCTGTCTCTATCTATGTGTCTGTTGTGCCTCTGAATCTGTGCCTGCCACTAACAAAGGACTTTGTTCTATATTATTGAAAAACATAGAAAACATGGCATTGGAAAGTAATGAGGAAAAGTCATTTTACTGACCCCAACTGATCAAAAGCATTCAGTACTGCAAACAAATGTTGTCAAGCACTATCTGTATGTTATTTTCAACATTTTTGGTAGATATGTAAGGTAACTTTCAACCTGATTGTTACTTTTAGCAAGTAATTACCATGATATACACAAACATTATTTGGCTGATGGGCATAGAAGAGTACATAATTTAGGAGTATGTTTGCTTGTAAAAGTTGATTGTATGGGAAATCCAAGCAATAATAACATTGGATGCATAGTTCTCTTAAAGACATACTAAACTTTAGCAGCCTGAGTACACAGTAGGACAGCAGGTTAAATACAATCTTAAATGATTTCAATACATATTATTAACTTTAGTGTGCCAAAAGATCAGTCTTTCTGGAATCCCTGAAAAGCTCTCGAGGACACAGAATTTTCCAGCATTGTTTAAAAATCTGCATCATAGTAGCCATGTAAATAATGATAAAAGTTGGTATAGGATAAAAACCTACTAGTAATTGAATGATAGAAATAATTAATAAGCACATTAATGGAGAATGAAAAAATAATATATCTAAAAAGGGAAAATACTCTAAATGGTATAAAATAGTAAATTACAGCTGGATTAAAGTGTATTTAGTAACTTTCATAGTCACAATCTAAATAAAAGAATACAGAAATATTAAAACCAAGAATGTGGGAAAGATTGTATAGTGTAAACTTTTATGTGTTCAGCAACCTAGATACTTCCTATAAATATAGTGAGTAAGCCAGTAAGCCAGAGAGGAAAAAAATGTGTGTGTGTGTGTGTGTGTGTGTGTGTGTGTGTGTGTGTGTGATCTGATTTCATTTATATGAAATTCTAAACAGAAAAACAATTACAGAGAATTAGTTATTACTCAGAGTACAGTTAGAAGCATGAGGGAATCTTCTGCAGGTCCAGAAATATTGTTTGTGTTGAATTTATGTAGGCATTTACATGTGTAAATTATCATTAAACTACATGTTTGTCAGTAAAGTACATATTTGCCAGGAGTACACTTACATATTTTAAATTTAAATAAAATTTTGAAATATCTATGATTAGAAAAATAATCATGAAAATGTTTATATTTGTAAATATTTACAGTTGAAGGGCAGAATTATAGAAAATTTGGAAAAGAAGAAATTTCATTATAAAGGCTTTAAAGTCATTGTCTTATTGGAATATGAAATGTATATTGATTAAATAGATTTCAGTCTGCTATGAATGTTAAAACTTTATTCAAAAGATAACATTAAGAGAATATATAATGACTGGATGTGTAGGGGCCATAAGGAAAATGTTAACCAATAGAATTCAAAGAATGAGAAATAGGTCTAAGAAAATTAAATTATGACACATAAAGAATAGAATGTCAGACAGTTAGACTGAATGGAAAATGTGCATTCTGTTAAAAGATGGAAACTTACACATTGTTCCTCAGATTCTGAAGAAAATATTAGTGGAAATAATGTTCTGCTGATATTTATTCTGTTCCATTAAATAAATTTTACACCAACAATAAACAAAATTTTACTCTTTCTTTTTCTTTGTTTTGTAGGCTGATCTTAGCCATGAAAATGAATCTCATATAATAGATGTGGTAAGTGCCCTTTTCAACCGTTTTGAAAAAATATTTCTTATTCACTCAATTGTTCATCATATTAGTGCAGTAAATATTTTTACTCCTTTACCACTCTGTATATTTATTTATATATAATGAATATTTAAAATATACATTCATTGATTTTCTGGACATACATACATTATTTGGTAATGATATATTATTTTAGAACATATTCTAGGATTAAAAGCCACGGGAGGAGGGGAGGGAAAGGGAGAGGGACCTGGAACTGACTTGTGAAGCAACCTTGTTTCTTATCTAAATTTAAAAAAAAAGAATAAAAAAAAGCCAAACTAAAACTACAGTGAAGATTGAATGCTAAAATGTCTTCTCATTGCATTCTGAAACTGAAACTAATTTCTTTATTAATATTTCTGACTGTTCCTTAATAACTTTCTTTTGTAAAGCTATCAATATCAAAGACTGCAGGCATTTTTTATAGATTTTTGTTATCACCTGAGTTAGCAAGTATTAATATACTTTGTGTGAGAATTACTTATAGCAAATATTATCATGCTGGCATTCATCTTAATGAAAGTTTCACTGTTGGTAACTAAATACAATTTTATCCTATATTCATTTAATTGTCTTCTAAGAGATAACCTTCATGTATTTCTCCACTGGATTAAATGGAGTTACAGATCATTTAAAATACCTAGAATTCTATGTATCTTAGGATATTTTGGAGCTTTTAATTTGTTTTATGTCAACAATTTTAATATGAACAGGAACATAATGATCTAATTGATTTGGTTCCATTTCCATAGTAACATAAAATTTATTTTAGTCTCTAGGTGTAATGTTTAGTCTTCCTGCCCACTGCCTGGGTCCTGTTGCCACTTTCAGCCCCCAAATAACACAAAAGACACTATATTAATTATGAAGCTGTTGGCTGTTTGCTTGGTTTCTTATCGGCTAGCTCTGACTTGATTATTAACCCATAATTACTACTATATATTTTATAAGGACTTAATCATTTTTAGGATAAACTCCTGAGCATTCGTTCCTCCCGGGAGATCACATGGCGACCAGTCTCTTCACTACATTTTCCAGAATCCTCCTAGACTCCTAGTCCCACCTATCTTGCTTCCCTATTGGCCAACAGTGCTTTATTGACATATGCACAGAAGGATTTCCCACATAATCTCCTCTTTTTTGTCGAAATAAAAACAAAGGTTTTAACTTTAACATAGTCCAATTATGTATAACAGAAATGTTATCAAGTAAGAACTATAGTTACAATATTTTGTCCATAACATTTAATAATATTTAAAGAAAGTATTTTATCATCTATCCTATCTGTGTATGTCTAATGTCTTATATGTAGCTTATCTTTTATCATAACTAAGGAAAACTGTGATTATAACTGTCTTTAACCTCATCAAAGACCACAGAAGGATAATATATACACACTATAATTGACGGAGACATCTTGCTGCCTGAGCAGTCACCTGAAGTTCCTCTCTAACGTTGGGGCATCTATTTTTAGCCCATAGGCCACAGTATGATTGGAAGACTTCTCAGAAAAACAGGAAATTTCAAACTGCCCATCTGCATTGGCAGTCTGTCAGTCATTTTTCTGTGTCCTGCAGGAAGTCCAGCAGACTCTTCCATGAAGCAGGAACCCTGAAGGACTGTCCAAGTTTAGTACTCTGGACATGAGTCCTGCATGTCCAGATTATGCAGCAACAGTCAAACAGTCTAGGCAAGAGCAGTTTCTTGCCCAAATGGCTAATCTTGCCTTTTTTAAAGTAAACTCTATAATGGGTTTCATCGATGCTCGTATTCCTCTCAAACGTAATTAATGTCAAGAAAATCCCTAAACCATTTTAAATGCCATTTTCTGAAGGTCATTGAAAGTTTTGAAGACTATCTATCTATCTTAAATACATCTCTGTATATCTAGAAAACCTAACTTACCTAACTGTAAGTTCTGACTATGATAGTTAACTATAAACTGTGGATATCAACATTACAGTTTTTTCTTTCTTTTAATTTTTATTTTTAAATTTAAATTAGAAACAAGGTTGCTTCACATGTAAATCGCAGGTTCCTCTCTCTTTCTTTCCCCTCCTCCCACACCCTCTCACTAACAGCCCCATATCCCCTCCATTCCCCCGGGGGGGGGTGAGGCCCTCCATGGTGATGTCCATGGTCTATACATTACATTTTTAAATGAGTTATATAAACATAATACCTAAACAAGAGGAGAAATATACATACCTCAAAATTGACCTTAAATTTGTATCAATAAATGAAAAACCATACCAATACAAAGTATTCACTTCCACACCATAGCCTCCTTTTATCTTTAGAAAGAGACTGGTTGCGATCATTAACCAGTTATAAACCACCCCGTTTAAGTGAAAACAAAAATTTATAAGCAATATTTGGGAAATTGGGTGTTGTTCATTCCAACCTGCTTCCTGCTGATAGGGGTGCTGTCCATACCATAGCGATCATGAAAAAATTCAGAAACTTGGCCAAGTTCTTGTTTTTGTAGTCTGTAAGACTACATCATCTCAGATGTTTTAGATGTTGGATCACTTGGGCCACTGCTTCTGGGGGTCTTGGTTCATCAAACCACAGAAGGATGGAAGGAATCCACAGCCTTTCATTTTCTGTGAAAACACAAGTAAAATCTTTTTTTCCCCAAGTACCCTGTCCTTATGTTTAAATTTAGAAGTCAAAGCATTTTTAAAATGTATAAGTTGGATTAATTTAGCAGCATTTATAATCAAGTATATTTTAGCAGTTTCGTTTTTAGCAATTGAACAATTGAAAAACATAATAGCATACAGTAAGTATTTAGACTCTGTGTATTTTCCATCTTTACAAGGCTTTTTTTACTTTTATTTATTTATTTTTTTCTCTGAGACAGGGTTTCTTTGTGGAAATCTGCCTATCTCTGCCTCTGGAGTGCTGGGATTAAAGGCATGTGCGCCACCACTGCCGCGCCACTCTTATTTTCTTTTAAACCACCTTACTTTGTTTCTTTTATTTCCCAAGTCTACGTACATTTTTAAACACACTGTAAATCTTTAGAGGTTTTTCTTCATTTGAATCTGACTTTACTAGAAATCTTTATGTTTTTCTGGTCACGTGTCTGTTATCTGTTAAACATTTCTAATCAAAACTATGGCTGTTTTAACTGCTGTTTTTGCAAGATGGCAGTGGTAAGTTTACCACCAGCGTTGCCCCTGTAAGTCTCTGCTTGACTCTAGCAAAACACAGTCTACCTGAGAAAATGCTGCTACCAAGAAGCCGTGGTTCTCTCTGTTCTTTTGTTCCTAAAATCCCTTTTACACTTTTCTCATTTTATGTGTATATTCATATCACCCATGCTGACACCACTATGTAACATTTAGTCTTCCTTTCTGCCACCTGGGTCCTATTGCCCTTTTCAGCCCCCAAATAACACACAAGACACTATATTAATTATGAAGCTGTTGGCCATTTGCTTGGTTTCTTATCAGCTAGCTCTGACTTGATTATTAACCCATAATAACTAATAGATATTTATAATGACTTATCTTTTTGAGGACACACTCCTGAGTGCCTGTTGTTCCCGGGAAAACACATGGCGACCTGTCTCTTCACTACATATCCCAAAATCCTCCTAGACTCCTACTTATCTTGCTTCCTTTGTGGCTAACAGTGCTTTGTTGACATATACACAGAAGGGCTTCCCACATCATCTAGGAGTTTGGATTAAGTATATGTACCCCCATCAGGAAATTATTTTAGAAGATGTAAAGTAAGATATTTTCAATTTAAAAACTAAATTTTAATCCTAATTGTAATGAATAATCACAAAATGTTTTAGTTAAGTACAGAAATGTGCATTTTTCATTTTTGCATACACTTTAATTAAAATATAAATACATCACTTTCCCTTTTCCTTTACTACCTCCAGCACCTCTCTAATCTCTTTCCTCAATTCCTTTTATATTCACCCTCACTTCCAAATCAGTAGCCTTCTTATTTGATTTTATCACAATAGACATGTATATGTATGTGTATGTATGCACAATTACATAAATACAGCCTGCCAAATCCATTTTTGGTGAGTGTATGTATATGGTATCAGAGCTGATCACTTTGTAATGGATATCAAATTATGGTGCTGATTCCTTAGAGAAGCTAATTTTCTCTCAATGCAGTCTTTATTTCCATGTAATCCTTTGTATAGGAGTAGAACCCCATCAAATATTCCCCCTTTAATATTAGTTATCATGTCTATTGATATTGTGATTGTTGTGGTCTTTTTTATACAGCCATCTATGAGAACATGCTGACAATATAGGTTTCTGGTATTCTGCCTCTTAGAATTTTTATGCTCCATTGTAAATGTACATTTCCTCTTCCAAATCATCCCAGATATCTGACTCAGAGGCTGAATATGAATTATAAATGCTCCACTGATAGCTCAGGCTTGTTACTAGCTGACTCTTAAACTTAACCCATATCTTATTTATGCTTAGCCACATGGCATGGTACATTTTCTTAGTATGGTATTCCCATCTTGCTTCTCCTGTGTTGCCCAGCTACTGACCAATCAACTTTTTATTAGCACTTGAGAATAATAAATATTAATAGTGTATAAAAAGATGGTTCCAAAGCTCTCTCTCTTTAATGATGTTGCCTGAGTCATAGATTCATGCAGATGAATCCATTGTAACTGAACTATTGATCTCCTTATTGTGTCCAGTTTTCATTTTCTGTGATAGTCTTCATTTGCTGTTAAGGGAAGCTTTTTTGATTCTGAAGAGTGATAGCTACACATATCTGGGTTTAAGGAAAAGATTTAGAAGGTATTTATGAATTATGCTGGTCTGTTCTAGCACAGGGGCAGCATTAGATTTTCTTTTAAGATCCATGACCTCACCCACCCCAGGAAATGACTAGGTTTCAAGTACCAGCCATGATTTCTCTCCTGCTGAGTGGGCCTTAGTCCAATTAGACAGCTGTTAGTTACC